TTTCAGAATATGAACACGTAATATTTCATAAGATTTTGATTGATAGAAAGGGATAAGAACTCACGATTTATGTTGGAAATTCGAAAATAACATGAAGTTAAGGAGTGTTTTGGGTACATCGTAAAAAGCCAATTTTTTTACTTTTTAACTTTTTTAGCCCAAAAAAATCACATAAAAGCTAGCTTTTTTAGCACAAAAAAGTCAAAAAGTCACAAAAAAGTAAAAAAGTCAAGTTTTTACCAATTTCTCAAAACACCACTAAGGCCTCGTTTGGGAACAGGCTAATTTAGTAACTTTTAGCTATTTGGCTAAAATATGAGCTAAAAAAAACTAGGATGTTTGGAATGACTTTTTGACTTTTTACGAAAAGATGTGCAAAAAGTAGAGAGAAAAGAGAATCTTTGATTTTTTAGTGTGGGTTGTTAGCTTTTTGACTAATTTAGTAACTTTTTAACTTTTTAACTAAAAAGGAGGATTCCCAAATAAAGCCTAAGTATAGTGATTGGCTTAGAATATGAGAATGTAATATTTCGAGATTATTAAATAATTTCTACTTCTAAAGCATCAATTCTATCTTCTAACGCATTGAATTCTTTATTCTCAATCACTCTTTTTCCTTATCTTAATGACGTTGTCATATTTTTAACTAATTATTAATTATCATGCTTTTTACTATTTTTTAATTACTTAATATAAAATTATAAATTTTATTTTTTCAATCAATTATAATCAGTGATATTGCTCAAGGAGTACCAAATAACATCTCCACAATATGAGACCAAAATTGCAGGTAGATTTCACTCAAATAGTGGACTCTCCACTGACTCAATAAAGAGAAATGGGTGCATTCCACGTGGACCCTTCCATGACCCAGCAAGGGATTTGCTTGTTTGTGGTTGTGGAGGGTGTTATCCAAATCCCACCTCTCTCTCTCTCTCTCTCTCTCTCCTTTTCTTTTTCTTTGTTTTGTGCATGCACCATTTGACAAATGACAAGTCACATGAGTACTCATGAGAGAGGACAAGTTTGACAATGGTTTCATTTCATGTGTGTAATTTACCCAACTGCCCACGAGTTTGGAAATTTTTTTGGGAAAAGCATGGCAGTTCGAATTGAAGGCTACTCAAATAATCTGAATGGGTGTTGACTGATCGTCTGTCCAGATGATCAGTCGGATGTTTATCCGGACAATCGGGTAGAAGATTGTCTACTATGATTGTCACTTTTATCGATCGTAACTGTCAACCTTCTCGACGGACGACCGCTCGAATATTCATTCGAACATCTGCACGGACGACCGACAAGGTGAATTTTGAGCCATTCAAGCCAATTTCATATTCGAGCTACCAAGCATTGCTCAATTTTTTTTTAGGAGACTTATTGGTCAAAATAGTAATACTATATAAACTTAAAAATTTTATTCAAATTTAGAAACATCAAAACGTAAGTCGGAATCATTCTGCAAGTAAATTTTTTGACACATACTTTTAATCTCCATTACACATTTTAATTTTTGTCACAAATCTTAAAATATAAATTTAAAAAAAAGCTAGTTTAGTAACGTTTTAATCTTTAAAAAAAATATATGTAAAAATATATAAAGATGAGTGAATTTTTTAGAACATTTCTATCAAATTAGTTATTTTCTTTTTTTAGTTAAAATAGTGAGTAAATCATTTCACCTCTATCAAACTAGCTATCAAGTTAGTCATTTTAGTTTTAGTTTTACTAGTTTTGGTTTGAAAAATTACAAATATTTCCTTATGAAAAAAATTTATTTGACAGAATTAACTAAAAAAATAAAATTCATAATTTATTTCTTATACAATAATAAAATTACCTAAATTATTAATTGAAACCTATTTTTAACATTATTAAAAACTGTTAATTAATTTAATGATTTATTAATAAAAGAGATGATTTATTGTGACATTAGAAATCTCAAGGAGTATAATGTAATTTTAAAATTACAGGGACGATTTGTATTTTAATCAAATTTTAAGGGTGTATTTGTAATTTATCTTTATTTTTATTATTATTATTTTGACTATATGAGGGTCTGAGCCCACTTGGGTGGGTGTGTTGCATGACAAGGACTCTATTCCAAACATGTCATGTAATTTGATGGCCTATTATTAGTGAGTAGTAGTGTACCCTACATTTCAATTTTCAACCTTATTGGCAAAATATTTTCAAATGAAAAGCATTTTTTACGGAAAACATTTGATGGCCTATTATTAGTGAGTAGTAGTGTACCCTACAAACACCCATTCAATTGTTATTAAAATGTTGTGGCATTGACAATTTTTATAATTTGGTATTAATAAAGTTGTGTTTGAATTATAAATTTATGTTATGTTTATTTAGGTGGAAAATATTTTCAAATGAAAAATATTTCTTACGGAAAACTTTTGTCAAAATATATTTTCTATGCATTGTGGTGGTGAAATGAAGGTGGAGTAGAGGTAAAGGCATGGTGGTGGGGCTTCGGAGGCGATGATAATGATGGTAGTGGTGCCAATGGTGGTGGAGGTAAATGATGGGAATAGTGTAGTGATATTAATAAGATTTTAGTCCAGAAACTGTTTTTCGCCGTTTAAAAGTAAAAATATTTTTTGTCTATAAAGGCTTGTTTTCTGTTATTATGAAAAATATTTTATGTTGACTTTCATTTTTTATTGTACCAAACACTAGAAGATAAAACTTTAGGTAAGCATTTATAAAGGAAAAAGAAATAGAGAAAAAATTTACCCTATATTTTTTTCATATTGTCCTTACATTTTTTATTTTTCTTTTTAAATTTTTACTCAAATTTATAATTTAAAATTTAAATATATCGTAAATTGATATCTAGCTTGATAACTAGCATTTGTCAGTATAATTAATAGGTAGTTTGAGTGTATATTTCATAACTACCATTTCTCTTTAGTTTGGTAATATTGTTGGAACTTTGTGGTCAAACCCTAAACCTATTTCGGTAATTTGCATTATTCATCTGGTAACATTTGTTAAGAAAATTATTTATGTAAAAATTTTAATTGCTTGGACATTAATATCCATATATCACTCATATTTATCTTACAAAATGGATGATAAATATTATTTTAATAATAGACTGTCTATTTTTAAATAAGAATTGTGATATGATCATGTGTCTAATAATATTTGATGAACTTCATTTATTGTATAAATGATATTCTCAACAAATCTTACAATATGAACTCTTACAATATGAACTGTTAAATTATTAAATAAGATATAGAGTGGGAACTCGAGGAAATCCAAGAGCAACTGTCTAGTAAATAAACGAATTAAAAGAAACCCAACTCTTTTAAAGATGATAGAGAAAGACCGAGGTATATTCTCTGAAAAATTATTTGATAATGAAGTACGACAAATTAAAAAATTATACAAATTATTTATACATAATAATATGATAAATTTGTGGCATTTTTTAAATTACGATTCATAGTTACTCTTGTGATTGAGTATATATTAGAATTTCCTTCACAACAAATGTTAAAGTCAAACCTTTATTAATGTCATTTGAGTTGTGAAACTTGGCTTAGAAAATATTGTTTTCTTGATAAAATTGACCCTACATATACATATAAATTTTGTTGCGTGGATTCACTAATAGAGTTGTTAAGTTGTTAATCGAACCAAGATACTCAAGTTTGGTTTGTTAAATGTAATTCAAGATTGATTCGTTATGTAATCAAGTCAAATTTAAATATCTTTTGAAGCTTATTATGTTTTCAAATGAAACTTGAACAATCTACTATTCGGTTCAATAAACTTGTATGCATTATAAAAAATTAAACTACTCACGTTTGACTCGTATTCGGCTCTTTAAAAACTCATTTGAGATTGACTTATTATATAAACATACTATACTTGAACAAATTTTAAAACTCGTTAAGTTTTTTAAATTAAAGTTGAACAACTTACAACTCTGCTCGGCTCGGCTCATTTTTCAACCCCGTGAAAAAAATTAACGAAATTCATTTTATGATAACATCATTTTCCCGTAGGAAATATTAACCCAAGGTTTTTTTCTTGTTTTTTTTAGGGTACTAGTTGTCCTTGGATGTGCAAATTCTAAGTTAACGTATCATAAATTTCTTAAACAACTGTAATCTTTCCGAAAAATTATTTAATGTCTCCCAAGGTGCCACGTGGCCACCTCACAAGTAATGGTGTAAGCGGTACAATTCGACTAGGGTTGAGACAAAAAATTTAACACCCAACCTCACCATTCAATTTTATAAATTGAGACACCAAAACCAATTGCATAATATGATTTGATTTTGTCGATTTTTCGATTTAACGTTAATGATGAATTATAAGATATTTCAAAATCAAAACAGGTTGTACAATATGAAAACACAACTAAAATCAGAAGTTCAGTTAGGTGCAAAAGTTAGTTCGGTTTTGTTAATTTTTCTTATAACTCTAGTCACGTTGTCATCCAATCACCAATACATTATATTTTCACCAATCCCAATTCTCGAGAGGCACCACCCGGCCATTCCCATGAAACATGGAATGACTTCAAGCTTTGCTTAACAGACTCTGCAGTACCACAGAGACCATTCATCTTAGTGACTCCATTATTATTATTATTATTATTATTTTATTTTTTTTTAACAATGTTAGTTTTTGTTGGTAAAGTTAGATTATAACTAAAGGAATTATCGCTGTTCCATTAATTTGAACACTGATCTTCCCCTCATCACACTCTTAGGTTAGGTGTGACTACAAGACTACTGGCCAAATCCAAAGTCCTGGCGACTCCATTTTTTGGCATAAAAATCATTGTAAGCACTGATCGTCCCCTCACCACACTCTTAGGTGTGACTACAAGACTACTGGGCCAAATCCAAAGTCCTGGTGACTCCATTTTTTGGCATAAAAATCATTGTAAACAATCTGAAAATAAAAGTTATGGAACACACATTATTATCTGAAAACAGCACACAAAGAAACAATTGAATACATACACAAACCATGGTTTTCATACCAAATTTGTATTAATAAATAACACGGCATACAATCGATCTGAAGATTCCATACGACAGATATTAGACAGAGAGGTTATTGAAAAGCCTGGTACGAAGATATGGGGAGGAGCAGTGGATATATTAAATAATTGCAGGTGAGCCCCCATTGTTGATGGAGGTGGGACTATATTCACATAATTTAATCCCCTTCTTGGCTGCAGAGCCAAATGTAAATGGACAAAACCATGAATGAGTGCTCTCTCAGTGCAATATATCTGCACAACCATTGTCTCTGCTTCCCTGCAATCTGCACATGATCACTACAAACCATCTAACCTGGACAAACATTTATATATATATATATATATGAATATATCAATCTTAAATTGATGGGTAAGAAGTGCAGGAGCACAGGGCCAGGGCTCTGTAGACCCACAACCAACCTGTATCTAACGCTTTTGCTCATCTTTAGGTGCTATCCGGTACCTTAATATACATACATGTACCTTTCATTACAGTACATCATATTGGATACTATCAGATACTTTATCATGTGAAATTAGAATAGGATAAATTTGAATTATTGTGTCGACCCAAATGTCGGTAACCTTTGTCTAAGTTATGTAAATAAAAAAATAATCATTTGGGCAAACAAAACAATCTAAGTGAAGTGAAATCAATCAAAAGTGAAGAAATTTCATGGTCATACATAGTGGAAGCCACCACCTGATTTTAGTGAATTAGCACTCACCAACTTTCTAAAGTTCAGGATTTTAAGATTTACAGTTTTTCTACTTGCACAAAATAAAACCCACAAAAAGGTGGGCTTACCTCAGGTAAGAAGGTCGTGTGCGATACTCTGATCAAATTATGTGTTTCTAGACTTGTTCTTGATTCATTCAAAATGACAGAGATCATATGGAGACAAATATAGAAACACTAAGAAGCACATGAAAAGTAAAACATCACCTGGACATCATTTCAACAGTAAAACTGGTCATTTTGGGAAAAGTAAGACAAAAAAGAACTGCGACTATTGAGGTTTCAATAATTCAATTTCAGGTTGTTCTTGGCAGGTATATCATACCTACTCTGTATGACAGAAAATTAAAGCCAAAATTATTATTTCCCTTAGGTTAAATCCATTATTTTCAGGCTGGAAAATGCTTTCCAATATATATTTTAAAAGCAAATCTGTTCAACAGATTAAGAGGCACGTGCATGTGTACAAGTGCATGCAAGTGTGTGTACAGTTGAATGTCATAAAAGTAGGTAGTCGGTGACCTTCGTTCACGGGCAATTTGTCTTCAAAACTCTCAGCAACCTATCTTCGGCATCTGTTTTTTGAAACGGGCAGTGTTTCCCCTGGGGGTGACACATCAGCTCCCTGGCATCCAAAACAATCATTACTAAAAACCACAAACAATTAACGATTCAGAATGTTCAATATGGCTATAAGAACTAAGTTTAATAATGAACACAATCAGAATCCTACAGACATCTTCTAATGAGAATCCTACAGACATCTTCTAATAAGAATCCTACAGACATTCTAATTTTTAAATTTAAAAAATAAAAATGTGTGATAGGAAAAAATATATATCATCATGAGGACTCTGCTCATTGAGTCAATGGGAAATGCATTCTAGGTCTTAGAATGTGGGAACCTTCTGTGCTCACACTATCTTTCTTAAAAGGATAACACACTTTCTAATCATTCCACATCCTTATAAAAGCTTAGATCTTTATTGGTCTCTACTCTTTGGATAGTGGAAAATAATAATTACCCCTATCTAAAAGTGCCATTCCATTTAAATCTACTAGGAACCAGAAAAGACTCTGAAAAAATGAATGGCTGATGTAGAATCAGGGTCAATCATAATTTTCTCGCCTTCCCGGTAGAGATACCAAGACTTCAACAATCGATTAACAGATTTAAAGCAGAGACCATGACAAACATATGAGCATGTAGCACCATTGATAATAGAGTGAATTCTTTAACTTTCAATTTAACATCTGGGACTAGGAAAAATTCAGATGATATTAAAAAGTTCAGTATACATCTGCATATATTGTATTAGGATAAGTTTAAGCTGATAATTTTGATTTATCCTTTGTAACATGCATGTATTTCTCTCTATTTTGTAGTCCTTGATGTTATGTTATTCATATTCCAACATCAAGCAATCACAAATTAGGCCAACAACAAAGTCTTGTAAAGAAGTGACCGAATAGTAACTTTTATTACCATCCAATGGCTTGAAATTCTGATAGATTCACATCGTAAAAATTAAATTTAACAAAAATAATAAATTCAACAAGTTTATGGGACTAGTAAATTTGTTTCAATAGTAGTATATTAAAAATAGGATTGAAACCAAATTTTAAAAAGGAAAATACTTAACCCTCAATATTGAGACAAAAACATCTCACCCTCAATTCTACAACAAAAATCAACATCCCAAACATTCAGAAAGGCTCAGGGCTTAGAAAATTACAAATGATTTACTCCAGCTGCCAAATATAATACAATACGGGCCAGGTATGGGCCCATTACTCTATCATGAACTCGCTGGGCCAATGACTCTTCAACAGTAAAACTAACCTTCTTTTTTTTTTCTTAAACAAACTATAGAAATAAATAATCAAAGAGATAAAGGAAACAGAAATAAGTTCAACTAGTGATAATAATGCAGACCCCACCCATGTCAAGCCAAAAGCACCCATGTGCTTGAGGTTTGAAAAGAACTACTCATATGTCACTTAAGACCAAGTGTTTCAGACCTTCAAAGTAATTAATAATTAACACATGTAACAATATATAATAATGAAGCAAATATCTTCACAATTTGACATAAAGCAGTTCAATTTGGAAATTTTTCTTAATCGTTTGAGTCCTGTCTGTCAGTTTCCATTCACACAACTTGAGTAGACCAATCAGAAAGAAAATGATAAAAGCAACAAGCACCATCAATTTACCACTGTGGGTGGGAAAGACAACCCAAAACAAACAATATTGGGCCCTTGATTACTTTGTAGTTATCACAAAGAATCATAGAAGATATTTTGTAACTTCTTATGTTATTGTCCTAATTTCATTGAAACACTGATTCAAAATATCCAGAGTTTTACAATAATAGGTCTTATTTAATGATTGCTACCAAATTCGAATTTGCAGGAACTTATAATTAATTATATTACTAATAGCATCAGATATATACAGAATTCTGTTCTCAATTTTTTAATAAACATGTATACTAAAATTAATTCTTAGCGGAGAGAACCAACGGAAACATATCAAAAGAAAGATTGGGTACCTGAAGACGCAAAGCAAGCAGATGATGTAATCATTTCAGTGCTGAAGGCTTTTCATGGGATTCAATTCTTATTGAAGAATTTGCTGCATAAGCCTTTACTGAACTGCCCCAGCAAAGAGATTACCATACAACACCATGATTGTTAGAAAAAGTTCACATGTTATGTTGGCTTTAATACAAAAAAACATAAAAAATGACGCAACAAAAGTTCTTTTTTTGGTAACTTAAGTAAAATTAATTTTTATTACCAAAAATATAGATTGCAATAAAGCTCAAAACACTTACCCAAAGGTAAACCTCAAAACAACTCAGTATACAGAGAAAATTTTATGAACCAACACATGATAAACTTCTCTAAAGAGAAAGCTCACCTAGTAAAGAAAAGAGATGATACAAGTACAACATAAAACTCAAAACTGCGCAACACTAAGGCACAACCCATTTAGGAACAACTTAAGAGGCTAAAACAAATTTTTTTTTTTTAAAATACTAGAGTCTTGTTTCTCTCTTCAAGGGAACACTAAAAATTTGTTTTTTCCCCTGAAAAAACTATGGTCAACAAGCCCATAGCCTTGTCAGAACATTCATCCATAGCAGCATGAGCTACATATAAGAAGAGTATCGTCAACTAGGCAACACCCTGTTTCTACACCCAATTGAGTCAAAATCTATGGACACCTCCATGCAAAAGCTGAACACTATAGCTAGGGTTGTAAAACAAACTAAGCTACTTGAGCACGACTCATGTTCAACTCGTTAAAAAGTTGTTCAAGATTGGCTTGTTATGTAAACAAGTCAAACTTGAAACACAATTTAAAGCTCGTTAGTTTTTCAAGTCTAGCTTGAACAAACTATTACTCGGCTTGATAAACTTATATGCATTATAAATAATAAAAAAACCAAACTACTCAAGCTCAATTTGTTATTGGTTCAATCAAAGCTTGCTTGAGATCAACTCGAAAGGAAAACAAGCAAACTTTAAACATATTTTGAAGCTCATTAAGATAAACAAGCCAAGCTTAGACAGCCTACTACTACTCGGCTCAACTCAACTCATTTACAGCCCTAACTATAGCCATAGTAAGACAAGCTTTCACTTGTAGAGTCGTAGTCCAAACCCGTCTCCAGCCACACAACTGAAAAGGACCCACTCATTACTAGCCACGCCCACTGTAGCCGAAACTCACACCGCCAAGACCAAGACTCCACCAATTGGGCGATAGAATCTACTACTTCAAAAGAATAAGGTCCAGATCACATCTTAGCAAAACCCTAGCCATTATGTGGAGACTAATCTCCAATCACCCTCAGCAAAACTCCTTCGCAATTGAAGATCAACACCCCAACTAACACTGTGTTTGGGAATCTAGGAGAGAAAAGAAAAGATTACTTAAGTAATAAGAGAAAAGAAAAGAAAAGAAATGATTGTGATTTCTCTCATTTTTGTTTGGATAAGGAAGAAATAAAAGAAAAGAAATGATTATGATTTCTCTCATTCTTGTTTGGTTAGATTTCATTAAGAGAAAAGAAAAGAAATTATTTTATGTTATATTACCAAAATAACCTTTTTATATTTTCAATCATTTTGTTTCTTTTATTTTTATAGGGACAAAATTGGTATTATAAAAATAGTGGTTTCTGGTCTCTCCCAATCTCTCCACTTTTGGGAAGATTCAAAATGAGGCTTATAAGAGAAATGAGTTTCTCTCCATTTCTCTTAATTTCTTTCCATTTCTCTCCACTTAGATTATCCAAACAAATAAGAGAAATGCATATCTCTCCATTTCTTTTCTTTTCTCTCCAAATCACTCAATCCAAACAAAGCGTAAAATTCATTTGAAGCTTAGCCACCCAACTAAAAGGAGAACCTTCCTTCAGTTGAACCAGTAAATTACACAATCTACACTTCCACTGAAGCCCTTCAAATAAGTTCCCAACAAAAGATAGGGATTCCTTAGAAGAAGATTACAATAGTCTCTCTCAAAGTCATAATGAAGACATGGATAATGAGAAAAGCTTGCATGGTTGTTTATAATGCGTATTTTGTTTCTGGCTGATCAAAACTTCATATACTTTAAGTGCCCACTAAGAGAGAGAAAAAGAGACTTGAATTGCTTAGTGATTATAATTTATAAATGTTAGAATGCACATGGGTATAATCAATCCGACAAAAGCCAAAGGTGAGTTAAATTATAGAACTTTAGGGTTTGATAAAATATGTAACAGAAGAAATATTTGATCATATCAGTAGTAGGTGAATGACGACAAACTGAGATGGTTTTCCATTTATAATCATGTTAAACAGTAAAAAAGAAGAAGAAAAATTATGTAAATCTCAGTCACCAGTAATCTCTGCAAGAACACAAACCATCAGCAAATCGATGAAACCTATTGATATCCCTCACAACAATCTCTCTCTCAAAAATCTCTGAAGCAAGCTTCATCACGGTATGACAATCACCACAAGTCCTAAGGTTCTTTTTAATCCTAATAGGAGCTCCAATAGGAATGGTCAGAAGTCCAAATGCAAGGGCTAGTTTCTCACTATGATACCACAAGCTCTGCTCTTTATACTCTTCTGCATTGTTAACTGCATATTGGGTCTCAGCCACATAACCTTTCTTCTTCAACAACTCCTCCAACTTGCCCAGAATCTCATAAATCTCACTGGTCCTAGAATGTGATCTGTCATGTACTGTAAAAACAAAAGTCTTGTTCTTGACATCAATCCAGCTGCACCCAGGCTCTTTTCTTACCCCATTGACCCCCATTAATCTCCTAATTTCATTAGCTTCTGCTAACCTTCCACTGCGTGAATACATGTTAGAAAGCAACACATAGTTTCCGGGGTTATAGGGTTCAATTTCAAAAAGCCTCTCTGCAACTTCTCTACCCATTTCAAGATCCCCATGGTTCCTACAAGCCCCAAGCAAAGCTCCCCAAACTGAAGCGTCCGGTTTAATTGGCATTGAATCTGCAAACTTCTTAGCTTCATGCAATCGACCAGCACGACCAAGCAAGTCAACTATGCAAGCGTAGTGTTCTAGCCCCGGGCTCATATTATGTATTTCAGTCATGGAATTGAAGTAAGCAAATCCTTCTTTAATACGCCCAGTGTGACCGCATGCTGATAAAACAGAAACAAAGGTTATGTAATCAGGCTTAATCCCATCTTGCAGCATTTCCTCAAACAATTCTATCACTCGGTTTGCGTGCCCATGTTGTTGGTAGGCTGAAATCATGGCTGTCCATGAAACCACATTTTGATCATCCCTCTCTTCAAATACTCGATGAGCATCAACCAAGCTCCCACATTTTGCATACATTGTGATCAATGGGCTTGTGACACACGCATTCATTCCAAATCCAGTTTTTATTATCTGATCATGGATCAAAGTGCCCTGATCCAATGCCGCAAGATTAGCAGCAGCATGAAGAACAGTGGAGAAGGATACGTCATCCGGTGAAACCCCTTCCCTTCTCATGACCCAAAAATAACTGCAAGCTTCTTCGGAGTTGTCATTTTGGACACACCCCATTACCATAACATTCCATGTAACAACATCTCTATTGCCAATGGACTGGAACAACTTAACAGAATCTTTAAAAATCCCACATTTACAATACATGTCCATAAGTGAATTTTTCACATAAGCTAAATTAATCAGGCCATGCTTAACTACAACCCCATGAACTTGCTTTCCATTGTCAGCAATACCCATGTTAGCACAAGCACTCAACACACTAGAAAAGGTAACTTGGTCTGGACTTAATGCCTCTCTAATAATTTTCTTAAAAAGCCCAACCGCTTTATCGTACAACTTATTTTGCAAGAACCCAACTACCATAGAATTCCAGGAAACAAGATTTCTCTTAGGCATTTCATCAAACACATTTTCTGCAGAGCTCATGTTACAACATTTAGCATACATATCAACCAATGCACTAGCAACAAACATATCAAATTCAAACCCATGTTTACAAATCAAAGAATGCATTTGCTCACCATGAGCTACAATCACAGTGTCGGCACAAGCCGGTAGGATAGCAGAGAAGGTGAATTGGTTTGGGTAGACACCAGTTCTCCTCATTTGGTTAAAGAATTTCAAGGCTTGAATGGGTTTGTTGTAATGAGACAACTGGGAAATGAGAGAGGTCCAAGTGACAACATTCTTGGACTCATCATGAGTAGTTGAGAACAATGTGAGACTGTGATTAATACGCCCAGATTTGGAGTACAAGTTGATGAGGCTGTTGAAGAGGAAAGGGAGGGATGTGTAGTTGTTGGTAATGATTTGGGTGTGAATTTGGGTGGCATGTTTGATGTTCTTGGTTTGGATGGCAATGTTGAGGAGGGAATTGAGATGGGTAGGAGAGATATATGTTGGTGATGAAGATAATGATGAGGTTTGGGTGCACAAGCTGTGAACTAGTTTGAGTGAAGATGGATTTGGATAGATGAGTATTGTGTGAAGTTTGTGTGTGTATTTTGGAGAGGAGAGGGTTCTCATAATAATTCAAGTTGAAATTGGGTAAAGTTTCATCACATGCTGTCAAGTATTTTTTTTTTGGGGGGTATGGATTTTATGTAGGGCTTTCGAGTTGGGTTACAATTTAGCTTTGGGTTGTTTTATAGGTAGATCCATGTCGTGCCTCTACCTTTTTATTTTTCCTTATTTTTTGTTTTTGTTTTTGTTTTTAGAGCTTGATTTTTTTTTGTTATTGGTTGAAATAGTAAGTTTTACTATTTTTATGTTAGGTTTTTTTTTTTTTTTTTTTTAAGAGAAGGGAATTATCACAATGTGAATGATGTTGAGAAATATTCTAAGACCATTAGGTCTCGTTTGAAAATATGTTATTTTAACAATTTTTTGATTTTTTTAGTTAAAATAAGAGATAACAAATTAGTATATTTTGGATTTTTTTATTTCTTATTCTTTAGAAAAAAAAAAGGTGTAAAAAAAAAAGGAGAGAGAATCTAACCCTTTTTTTAATATAATTTTTTAATTTTTTTAATGATTTTTTAATTTTAAAGTTAAAATTCAAACTCTCCAAACCTGCCGTAAATATCCTCTCCATTTTCAGAGAGGGCAAATTGGTGGAGTTCGGATCCCCTCCTTGATCCCTCTCCTTTATTTCCTACTAACAATGGCTTGTAGATCCAACACTTATAAAAAATTTTTTTTTTAAACAAATTCAATTTTTGTATTCTCGCCCAAACGTATATACAAGTTATACAACTATCATTCTCACCTACCCCCTTCGAGCTCAGCCACTTTCTTCTCTATTGATCCTCTCTTTCATCGGCAATGTCACGATCCAAACCCGCGCCCTATGGGTTTAGCGTCGTAATCGGCCAGTAATCCTTGGATTACCAAAGGCCTCTTAACAGAGTAACATATAATTAGGGGCTGCGGAAGCAAATAACAATTATACAACATCCATTGAGCTGTGCAAACTCATATGAGACAGAAAATTTTTGAACTTTATATACATACATTTACACATCATCATATACATATAGAGACTAGACAAAAAGGGACTTGGCCCTAAATACAAAATAAACAAAAACAAGAAATCAAAACTTGAACTCTATGCACATAGCCATAACCACTTGACATTTCGGAACCTCTACGGGAGGCTTATAGGTTGGTTGACAAAACAAAGTCCAGGCAGAAGCTCTAGGCCTGGTCACGCGCCAGATCACCTACATACATAAATAATACAGTAAGCTGGAGCCCAGTGAATAATAACAAAGGAAAGATTTTAATGAATGATGCCCGGAACAGATTTCAAATCTCATAGCAAATCAGAATCATAATTAGGTAGCAGAAACAGAGTCATGGTCTTATTCATATTCAAATCACGTGTGGTATATCCATTAGCATAAACATATCTCTTTGGTCAAGCATATCAAGTTCCATATTGGAACCTCTGGTACCGGGTAACATATCTCATATATCGGCTACGGTATTGTTTCCCCCGGGCGAGGGCCTGGGCCACAGTATTATCCCCGGGCTAGGGCCTCATGACCATAAGCCACAGTATTATGTCCCCTGGACGAGGGCCTCTACTTAGGATACCACAATTACGTTTCAAAGAAAATTTGGACAATCATTCATTCATACAAAACATAGCATTTTAGAAAATTGAGCATTTCATATCATCAGAAAATAATTAAAGTCAAACATAACTTTACAGAGTTATTACGCACAGTGGGTTAAGTCGATATAAGGCCTTCGATGCCCACCTATATAAATCACATAACAAAAGCATAATAGAAGACCCATTCAATATTCATTTCATTTCAATTCAACTCTCTTTATGTGTTTCTAGTTTATTCCATGACTACGTGAGTCTAATTGGTGTTTAAGAATACTTAGAATGTCAAGAGGATGCAAATATGCATTTAAAAGAGTCAGTCAAAAATTGCTGAAAATAGGGTCTCCGTTCCAGCGTCACTTTGGTCGCTCGAGCGGACTGTAAAATTTTGCAAAACTTCTGGGAGCTCGATTATCACTTTTGAACGAGACTTTCCTCGCTCGAGCGGACAGTGTGAATTCTTGAATTTCCAGAATTGTGTTTGAAGTTCAAATTTGATATTCAAAGTCTTAAAACTTGTATTTTTGGTATAAAATTATGGAGAATCATTGTATAATTTAGTAAACACTCCCAATTAGAAATCATTTATTCAAAATCATGCTCCAATTGTCTAAATTTAGATTTAATTCATTTTTTTTATATCAAACCCATAAATAATACAGTGAGCTGGAGCCCAGTGAATAATAACAAAGGAAAGATTTTAATGAATGATATCCGGAACATATTTCAAATCTCATAGCAAATCATAATCATAATCAAGTAGCAGAAACAGAGTCATGGTCTTATTCATATTCAAATCATGTGTGGTACATCCATGTAACAACCCTCATTTCAACTTAGTCATACTTGCATACATTTATGAATGGTCTTGTTTTGGTATGTGCATTTGCAAATCTTGTCTTGTTTTGCTCAAATGTTGCTTGTGTGCTTTGTTCTTGCTTGGTGTGTCGCCGAGGTCATCTTAAGCCTAGACACCTTCGAAACCTTTTCCACTTAGAACTGTCGTGGAATCCCTTCGATTGACCTCCATCTCCACCTTGGCATATTGGCCAAGATGTCACCACCTAGGCCGAGGCGCGCGTCGCCTAGGCCGAGATGTGCATCATCTAGGCCGAGATGCTAATATCTAGGCGTTCTAGATCCTTGATCCTTACACTAGCGATTTTATTCCTGGAATGGTATGACCTAGACCGAGGTGTGGCACATCTAGGCCAAGGTGTGGCACAGCTTAGTCAAGTGTTGTCCTTCCAAGCCGATGTCCTTGCCACTTGCTTGCCAGAGTCTTGTTGTTAGCCGATGTCGTTACTTACTGGAGTGCCCTTGCTGTTTAGCTTGTTGAGTACACTTTGTCATGGTCTTGTCTAATCAGTCAGTCACCTTTTCGAGTAGAGCTAACCAGCCGGTGCCACGTGTCCCAGCAGGGGGATTAAGTCAGTGACTGTCGGGAGAAACATATCATTTTGTATCAAATCTTGCCTTTTAGAGAGAGAAACTCTAGGAAGAAGAAGGAGAAGTGTGAGCAAGAGAGAGTGAACTTCCAAGCTTGATCGTTGGGGCTTGAACCGTTATATTCGAGTTTTGAGGTTAGAATCCTAACCTACTCTTGTTGTTCTTATTGATCATCTAGCTGCATTGCATGATCAAACCTGTTCGGCACGTCATGCGTTGATTCAAAGATGGTTTTAGAAAGAGAAAATGGTTTTCATGTATTCTTAAAGAAAAGCCTCGTTTGATCCGAAAGTTGGCATTAAGGCTCATGTTTTTGTGTTTGTTTTGATAAGATCCTTGAGTATGGGTATCCAGGTCCATGTCTTTGAATTCATAGCATGGAATCTCAGCTTTCGTAATAGCAAGTTTTGATTTTTGCATTCATCTTCCTCATATTCATGTTCTTCATGTTTATCAAAGGGGAAACCCAGATTTTCCCGACTTCACTTTTGATTGTGGCCGTCGGGGCCACACCTTGGCAAGGAGGTATGGGACCTCGGCCTAGACCTGGTAGTTACCCAACATGTTTTCCAGAAATAAGAAACGGTGTTTTGATTTGATTTGACTTAGTTTTTGAAGAATGCCGAAGTCATTTGCATGCATGATGCTAGACTTGTTTTGAGTAGTGCATTTAATAGACTTTGCCATGTGTTTGTAGGACTGGGACTTGCCTTGGCCCCGACGTTTAAAGAACTATGTGAGTGGTATTTTTAATAAAGCTATGTTATATGTTTTGATAAAGACTTTGCTTTGCTTTGTTTTGAAAGCATTTGTTAAGCATGAATAATTATCCCTATTTTGTATACCAAGCATTATCTTGTTTTGATGATCTTCTCGGAAAGTCCCTTGTGCTGGAGGACTCTAAACTTTCGCAGCACATCTCGTTTTGGAAGTCCCTTGTGCTTGAGGACTCTGGAGGACTCTAAACTTTCGCTGCACATCTCGTTTTGAAAGTCCCTTGTGCTGGAGGACTCTAAACTTTCGCAGCACTCTCGTGTTGAAGGGCTACAGGCCTTTGTAACATAGGTCCCTTGTGCTAGAGGACTCTAAACTTTCGTAGCACCCTTGTTTGAGATATCTCCTTTGCTTTGTTTTGTTTTGCCACTGACGGTTTACCGCGTGGGTATGGTTGCTTGAATGTTATCATTTGTAGTATGTTGATGCTAGTAAGCATCCCTTGAAACTTTGAAGATTTGTTAGATGGACGAGGTCCATCCCTTGTTATATAAAGTTTTGACTTGTATTGTTTTGAAAGGACTTCGGCTATTATTCATACGAACCCCTTTATTATTTATACCATTCACTGAGTATCCAAGCTTACCCTCTCTATATATATGTAGGTGATGAGCAAGAAGGCGATGACGCCTAGATGTGATTCGCGAGCTTGTTTTGGATTTTTGTCATGCCGGTTTGACTTGTAATTATGTCGGCAGTCTTGAAAATCACGCGTCTCGACTTGTAATATTTGTATTTCGTACACGTCGGCTTGAGAAGCCTTTTGATCAAGATGTGTGTTTTGTATTTATGTTATGTCGGCAACGAGGATGCCGGCAATCTGGCAGACTATGTTCCTTGATTTGTAGTTCGTACATTTTGTTTGTGTCAGCTTGTGAAGCACTTTGTTAAAATATAAGATGTAATTTGTACTTTGATTCATTTGTGATTAAGTTGTAACCCATGTGAAGGTGGTTGCTATTTCATTGGACTTATGCACAGCTCTTATGGACTAATCTGATTTGTATGTATCGCTTCCGTACTTGTGAGCCCCATGTATTTATACTCTGTGGTGTGTGAATTTTGAAAGCCGGCCTTCAGTAATCTCGGATTACTGGCCATCACGGCACCAAACTACTAGGGGCGGTTTGGGGTCGTGACAATCCATTAGCATAAACATATCTCTTTGGTCAAGCATATCAAGTTCCATATTGGAACCTCCGGTACCGGGTAACATATCTCATATATCGGCCACGATATTGTTTCCCCCGGGCGAGGGCCTGGGCCACAGTATTATCCCCGAGCTAGGGCCTCATGACCATAAGCCACAGTATTATGTCCCCTGGGCAAGGGCCTCTGCTTAGGATACCACAATTACGTTTCAAAGAAAATTTGGGCAATCATTCATTCATACAAAACGTAGCATTTTAGAAAATTGAGCATTTCATATCGTTAGAAAATAATTAAAGTCAAACATAACTTTACAGAGTTATTACTCACAGTGGGTTAAGTCGATATAAGGCCTTCGATGCCCACCTAGATAAATCACATAACAAAAGCATAATAGAAGCACCATTCAATATTCATTTCATTTCAATTCAACTCTCTTTATGTGTTTCTAGTTTATTCCATGACTACGTGAGTCTAATTGGTGTCTAAGAATACTTAGAATGTCAAGAGGATGCAAATATGCATTTAAAAGAGTCAGTCAAAAATTGCTGAAAATAGGGTCTCCGTTCCAGCGCCACTTTGGTCGCTCGAGCGGACTGTAAAATTTTGCAAAACTTCTGGGAGCTCGATTATCACTTTCGAGCGAGACTTTCCTCGCTCGAGCGGACAGTGTGAATTCTGGAATTTCCAGAATTGTGTTTGAAGTTCAAATTTAATATTCAAAGTCCTAAAATTTGTATTTTTGGTATAAAACTATGGAGAATCATTGTATAATTTAGTAAACACTCCCAATTAGAAATCATTTATTCAAAATCATGCTCCAATTGTCTAAATTTAGATTTAATTCATTTTTTTTATATCAAACCCACAAATTTTAAAATATGAATTAAACTTCCCAAACTCTTGAAAATTCCATGATGTATGTAAAAATAGAACCCGATTTCATTATTAATAACAAAAAAACCAAACTTAACTAATGAATTACAAAATCAATTCCTTAGAATATCAACCTAACTCAATCTTTAACCAAAAACTTAATTTATAATCATAGATGTTCTAAAATGTGTTTAAATTGAAAAAAACTTTTAAATAAAATTACATGCATGGATTAAAGATCAAAATCACACAAATTCCTAATTTTCAAAGCTTTTCCTTTTTCTCTTCAAAATATGAGATTGAATTAGTTCAAATTCTTCAAAATCCATGATGCATGTACAATTAGAGTATTAAAATTTGCAAAATTTGTTCATGCATGTAGAAATGGAACTCAAATTCATGCAAGAGTACAAAAATCAAACTCAACATAATTAATTTCAAAATTAATTTCCATAATTATGAATCTAATTTAATTTTGAGTAATGATTTATCCCCCCTTTTCCTCCCACCCCCTTTGACCCCCTCTCTCTCTCATTGGTTACATTTTCTTTTTCTTTTTCTTTTTTTTCCTGCTCCTCCAATCACCCCCTGCCACATGGCAAAGGGGGTGAGGGGGTGACCCCAAAAGGGGGTCCCAAGCATTATTCATTAATTTTATCATCTTCTTGCTAATTTTGTTCTAATTGTATGAAATTGAAGCACCAAAACCCTTGGAAAATAATGATGCACGTAAAATTAGAACTCAAATTCATCAAAGGTGACTAAAATCAAACTCAAAAGATGAGTTTCTAAATCAATTCCTTAATTCTTGAACTAAACTTAATTTTCTTCATTCTTTTTCTTGATTCCCTCATATTATATGTATTTAAACTCAATTACCTCATAAATTTAGGTGTTGAAGAGATTGTCTATAAACATTGGGTTAGAATTTCTTACCTATTAGTCTTCAAGATCTTCCTTTATCTTTAATTCTTAGCTTTCCATCAAATTCCTTCCAGCAAAAAAAAATTGAATAGGCTTCATCTCTCTCTCTCTCTCTCAGAATTTTTTTTCCAGCCGAACAGATTGATGAATAGCTTTAAGGCTCTAACTCTTCTTGATTTCATTTATCCCATTTTTATTATTATTATTATTATTATTATTATTATTATTATATTAAAAAAATGGTGGGACACTTGTCCACCTTAAATTAATCCATGTGGTGATGTATGTTAGGATTAGTTTAGCACACTAATTGTACTTTAATTAATCATAACTAATTACAATTCTCACATAATTTAATTAGTCTAATTTGACTTCCATTAAGGCCCAATTAATTATATTTAATATTTACCATTCTGAATCTGATTTTTAATCAAACTCCCAAAAGGCTCCAAATATTAAATTAATTTTATTATCATTATCAATTTTGATTTCTCAAATCATTTAGGCCTTCAATTTCTGATCAGACTCAAATTTCCATCAATAAATTACATATTCAAATTGGACACCTCATACTTAAATTTAATTTATAATAATCACAATTCCCAAGCTTCATAACTTAATCAGCTCTAATTCGAACCCAATTAATAAAACCTCAATTTCACTAAACTGAATCGAATATTTAATTATACTCCCAAATGAGTCCGTAATTAAAATTAAATTGATTCAACTTCTTAATTTCACATCTTTAAGCCATTTAGACCCTTAATTTCTAATTCCAAAAATAAATCTTTAATAGAATCATATACGAACTAGTCTCCATAGTTTTCATAAATTTCAGATTAAATTGGAATAATTGATAATTAAAATTCAAATCTCCTTAATTAATTAAGTGCTAATTACTATACGTGGTAGGGTCGTCACAAGCAACCACCATCACCGGTGACCTACCCTCATTGGCGACCTACTCCCGACGACGGCGAGAAGCTGCCTTTCCTTGGTTCTCCTTACATAGGGAAGCTCTCTCTCTCTCTCTCTCTCTCTCTCTCTGTGTAATAACCCTCACCACTGCTTACCGATAAACACTGATTACCGTTAAACTGAACTGATTATGACTGATAACTGAACTGATTATGACTGATAACTGAACTGATTATGACTGATAACTGAACTGATTATGACTGATAACTGAACTGATTATGACTGATAACTGAACTGATTATGACTGATAACTGAACTGATTATGACTGATAACTGAACTGATTATGACTGATAACCGAACTGATTATGACTGATAACTGAACTGATTAAAGTACTGAACTGACTGACTGAAAAACTGGAATCGA